CCAATACTCGGTGCCATTATTCAGACCCCAACCCACTATAACCGACGCGTGGTTTAACTTTACTCTCTTCGCACTTTTGTTAGGCGTTTTGATTATACCATGACTTTAGGGCACAAACAGAGAAATACACATTTATATAAGAATTACATTTAATATATAATAAATATTATATATATTTCAATGATTAATATCGCACTCATAGAAGAGGAAATCCAAGCCATCGTTATTGATGAGTGCGATGACGGGTCCTCTCCTATAAATAATATCTTTCATTTGATTAATACTCGGATGTGAGATGTGCTCATATCGGGCGATATATGTATGGTTTGCTCGCTTTTCATCATCGCATACAGACTTCTAATGGAGTATTAGTTTATTCGTAAAGAGTATCAATATTTAACCAAAAGATATGCTACAAATTGTTAGATATATACTGTATATAAAATATATAATTGATTACTGTTTCCGCATAGGGATAGTCGGCTTCGGTGGCGACGCCTCTGTCCATTACATACTGATAGGTGTCGTCTATAAAGCCGTATTCGCAGCCATTGTTGCGATATTTTCCAGCGCCAGAGCAGTCGACTATTTGCTGCTCCGAAAGGTCCAGCAGTTGGGAGGAGTTGTCGTCGTTTAGATAATAGTCTTCGTCACCCATACTATCCGTGAGATAAACAGATAGGTTATTACGGATAGCGATGGCGCTCTCGATGGTGGCCACGACTGTGAACGCGTAGCAACAGTTGCAACTCAACTGATCCCTGGCTTTGGTTACTTTGTTCAGTCGCCGCCAATCAAACTCCAGGGGCAGCTCAACAGTACCACCACTGGTCCCATTGTAATACCTTTCAGCCGCACAATAACACACACAGCAAACACACAAATTGGTTGGTTTTATGAACGAGAAAAAAATTTAATTGGTTAACATATTTGTGTCATAAAAATAACTTCAAAAACTTTTTTTGCCATACATTTGATGTGAATGTTCACTCTTTTGTTGTGAAAAATCATTTGGTTTTTTGGCATTAAAATTCTTGTGCAGATTCTGTTGCCGTATGATTGTTGAGATCTCTTCGTCCGACTAATTATAGCCATCAGAATATATTTACAAAACACAATACATGCGATGGAAATGAAAATAATGACAACAATAAAAAACATTAATTAATAATCATATGAATGAACGAATGTAATGGTAAGGCATTACCAGATCAATGAATTTGTTGGCCGTCAATCCATGGCTGAGACTCCCATTCATAAACAATTGGTTATGTTTTGCGATATAATCAATGGATTTAATAAAATTAGTTTTTCGCTTTTCATTCTCCTCCTGAGTCTCATAACTCCTATTGAATGTCGACTGAAATCATATATAAATAGACCTTCTTTTTGTTAAAACATGATTAAATTTTGGTGTTTATTTATCATTACTATAAATAAACTTCTGATAAAGACTAACACAATAATACAAAAATATATTACTTATACCTTAAAGGCATTGAAAACAGCGTCTAATTTATCAATTGATGATTCGCTCGTATTTTCATTAAATATTGAATTTTTGAACACTTTATTCCCGTCCGAATCGTTAGGGATTAATATTACATGTTTTATACCAATCATATAAATGGAAATTATTAATTTATATTTCATTTTAATACAAAATAATGAAAACTATAAAAACTAGGTAAAAACAAATTTAATAAACTTTTTGTATAGAATTTGTTAATTTAAAACATATAAATAGTATTATTATTAATTAAATCAAAAATTCAATAACGAAACTAACTTAATATAAATGTAATTGAAATGACATTTATTAACGATTCGTCGCATCGCATAAGAAATCATAATTAATATGAAAAGCAAAGGCTTTTGCAATAAATGAAAATATTGTTTATCATTATTGAAGGCAAATGTGATTTACAATACAAACTAATTACATGAACATTACATCAAAATTAAGTTAATATTAAATGAATTGTATTCAGTATATAACTTACCTGTAGTTACAGTATATAATAAAAGCCATTTTTCCACATATCATATCCTTGATTACAAATTGAGTTATGATTTCATACAAAAGCAAAACACAATATATTTTCATATCTTAAAGGTATTTATTTCAAGTGTTTATCTAATCTTATTATTATTAATAACATTTTTTGTTACATTTATTTCATTTACCAATAAATGAATTAATTTTGTATTTTAATAGATATATAAAAGAATAAGTTATTCTACAAAATATTTTTATAAGAAGTTTTTATACATCTCTTTCATTTAAAATGGATATTAATCTATATATTATATAATATAACTGTATATTAATATATAATTTTAATCACAATTACTTTCATTTGTTATACAATTAAAGAGTAGAATTGAAATTTGTAACGAAAACTTTTAAATATCATGTTTTAGTTTTTTTTGTAATGTCTGTCTGTCTGTAATCGCTGTCCATTTCTGACATTAAAAGTATCACTAATTTATTATTAAAATCCAATTTCATCTGTTTTTTGTTGTCTGTTTGTCTCATCAATTTGTTGAAACAGTTATAGTAATAATAATTATCATATAAATCGTTAGTAATTAACTAGATTATCGTTTATAAATATTATATATTATAATATTATTTACAATATAGTAAATATATAATAAATAATGAATTCCTGTAATAATTTTGTTAAAATTATTGTTTGTTTTTTGTTTTAAAAATCATTGCATTTCCAGTGACGATATGCAGACATTCATGTAATTACTCTCTAATTAATAACAATCTTAACAAACAATTTCGTATAACAATTAGTAGTTTTTTTCTCATCTCTTATTTTGTTTCTTTAGGTAATAATAAAAAACCATTCATTTGTTTATTACACGAATATATTGTATACTAAACGTAGAAAACATTCATCGCTTATAGTATTGATGTCTTATTGTATGTAAACTAATGGGGAGTTTAAGGACATTAAAGTATCCATTATTAGTAAAGTATTACTTAATTATTATAAATGTTATTTTCTTTTGACTTTCCCTCCGCTCTCTTCTTCTTATACTTATTTATTTGAAATATTGTTTTAAAAGTCAAACGATAGGCAAACAAATGGAAAGCTCTGGTATAATATTGGAGACAACAATATCTATACTGAGAGACTAATTACTGGAAGATATCTGATCTGAAGACTATTTCATATAAGACTGAAGACTGTTATGTTTGTGTGAATGTATTAGTTGTATGCAAATTGACACCAAATCTATGGGAAATATAAAGTTTATATTCACGTTATATAAGTTATATATCACTATCTATTTGTTTGTCGACTCCTTGTCCTCTTCGATGGCCTCCTCATAAGTCGGCGGCCCATCAGTAGGTATGACATCCAACTGGTGATAGAGTGGCGGCAAATCAGGCAATTGATAGTCAAAGCCGTTCATTATATCACTATTTAAGGGTAGCCGAGACTCAATCGCATCGCAATCGCCGTACGAGTCGATGATTTGCTGCAACTCATCCACACTCTCCTCGTTGGCCATAACCGTAATGATAGGCGGAAAGTGCCAGTCGTGTGGTGTTGTCCGCGACGGACGCGGAGACAGAGATCGCGGCGATCGACGGCCGCCCAGAGGCAGGGGTGTCAGTGTAGGCCATAGGTGTGCGCTATAGTTGCTATTGTTATCGATATTTATTGCCACTGAATGCCTGTCCAACGTATTGACTGTCCGATTGTTTCTAACATTATGATTGTTTGCGTGGTTTTGTTGGCCTAAAATTGTATAACATTTGGTGTTCACTATAGAGCATACTTTACTACACACTTTTCTATAATACTGTATCGTTTTCATAGGTTTAACATGAAACAAGTTTTAAGTGAATAAAATAACTATATTTACCGATTGTGTAAATAATGTTAAGCCTCGCGCCACCCATGGATGGGGGCGCACAGACGTGCACCCTTTGCTGATTGTATCCGTTATTATTAACATTATTATTATTGTTATGATTGTGGCTGTTATTACTGTTAATACTGTTATTGTTATTATTGTGGTTGTGGTGACGATATCTGGAAGAATGATGTCTTGTACTGTAATGAGTGTTTGAATCCCAATAATCTATAAGCGGTTCCCCTTTGCATAAAGTGTTGAAAATGGCAATTATTATGCAAAGCGTTAACGCTATGGCAATGATGGCCAAACTGATGTAGATCAATTCGGTGAACCTCCTGTGCGCTACGCTGAACATTATGATCAGCATTAGTATCGTGAAGAGACCGCCGCATAGGTTGCCCACACCTGCAAATGCCATCACAACCATAGGTACCAATTATATGATCGATATATAAAGAGGCGTTCAATTAATCTTGCGCGTCGCGTTTTTGTTATATCTTTTAAACTATAAGAGATATTTAGATTCTGTAAAAGGGATATAATAGAGCATGCGACGCAGAATTTTTATATATCCTATTGCCCGATGTGGGTCACGTGGTTTTCTTAATAACCTATACATTCCAAATCATTATGTTAATTTTCAAACTAAACGAGTTATAGAGATGGTCTCAATACAAAATTTGTTAAGCGATAATTGCTGCGTACAATGAAAAAAGAATTATTAAAATCGGACCAGTACTTTAGTTTTTATGACCCTAAATGTCGTAATTTTGGAGGAAAATTGATAAAACATTAAAATTGTTTTGAGAAAATTAAATATTTTGACCATTAGAACGATGAATACTAGATGGATTACCACTACCCATAGGCTTAACATTGTCTTAAATATAACATAAGCCCATAATATTAGGATTGCCACAGACTTCATTTTCTTCATATATTTGACTGGCCATGGCCCTGGGCCAAGTTAGCATTAGTCCATATGATTAACATTACAGTATACTCGACTTGCTTAAGTCATAAAAACTAAAGTACTGGTCCAATTTTAATAATTCTTTTTTCATTGTACGCAGCAATTATCGCTTAACAAATTTTGTATTGAAACCATCTCTATAACTCGTTTAGTTCGAAAATTAACATAATGATTTGGAATGTATAGGTTATTAAGAAAACCACGTGACCCACATCGGGCAATAAAATATATAAAAATTCTGCGTCGCATGCTCTATTATATCCCTTTTACAGAATCTAAATATCTCTTATAGTTTAGGAGATATAACAAAAACGCGACGCGCAAGATTAATTGAACGCCTATTTACATTGTTTCATAAATGTAAATTTCATAATCAATATTTTATAATGCTATGCAAAACTCGCCATTCATTTATCATATTTTATGCAAATTATTTATGTTTAAAGTATTGTTTGAAAATAAATGATTTTACAAATAATTAGGAAAAATCATTATTAATGGCAGAAACATACACAATACAAATAAAAATAGCATTCATTTCAATAAAATATGTATTCAACAGAATATTCTTTAAACGGCAAAACAACAGTTTATGACAGATATGTTTAATATTTAAAAATGGTATTAATTAAAGTGAATATACTTTAGGTATAAATACATAATAAGGCATAGAAAATGTCAAATAAATATGTTTACCCTCGCGTTTGACACACATTGCGCTCACAAACCAATTATATATTATTATAAATATAGGTATTAATAGAAATTAATTTTATATAAGTCGAGGGCTTCTCGATATACAGGAGGCAGACATCAGTGTTTTGTATGGTTTGTATGAATGCAATCGTTTGGCCACCAGTTTATCGGTATAATCAGTATTTAAAGTGCAGTACATTTGTATTTTGTGCGACAGAATTGTTTCAAAATGTTTGAATCATTTCACGGTTTGTACGAAAAAACTGGGAAAACATTTTATTATATATAAATTTTTACAAAATTGCGTTTGGTACTTTTTCATCACTAAAATCATCTCTGTTGAGGAGCGACTGGTTTTATCACTGTTTACATGATTATATCGATTGCTTTTATATGGATGCGTTACACATGCTCTCTCTCTCTCTCTCTCTCTCTCTCTC